ACGATAGTGGGCTCGCCCAGCAGCCTTCAGCGAAGTCATTCATTACGGACAATCCAGGACGCGGCAGGGATTGGATCATGATGGATGAAGAAGTTTGAGCAAGTGTTGTTGTGTTGTGAGCGAAAGTTACGTGCATGAGTCGCGGCGACTCACATGTTAGGTTAAAGCACGGATATTTGGGAGTGACACGAAGCGCGTTTTACCCTGGCGTTTAGCGTTGGACAAAGTTGGCGCCCGTTTCCTTCTTCGGATTGGCCACGCGTGCTACGCTGTCGTACATGCTGTGTTTTGGCAACGAAGCCAGCTGTCTTCCCCTGAAGTGTTCTGCCCTTTTGCAAGCTCAGTGCGCATATGCTTTTGAGCTACGACGCACGCTGTTTATGGCTTGTGGGATTGATCAGTTGTTTGGCGGGAGTTCTGCTAGTTGCGGCTTGATCGCCCGATTTGGAGGCTTACGGACCACTTCGCGTTAGTCAGCTTCTTTGAGCGCTTAGACGTAGCGCCGCCGGACTACAGACTGGAAAGTTAACGTGCTCCCTCTCGAGTTCCGTTTGAAATTCCAGGGCTGTTTTGTCGAGAACAATAGGCAATAAGCGCATGGGGTCCGCTCGGTTAGCTCCGCCGGCGCTGGAGGGATGTGGCATGGACGTGTCCCGCGGCCGGGCGGTCGTCGCTGGCTTCTCCAAACTGCCCATGAGTGCAGTGGAGCGGTCCGGACGGGCCGGTGACGCTGGACGCACCCCCTGGCGGTGTCGGTTGGGCCGGCGGCCGGCGCAGCGGCTCTGATTCACTGCCGGCTGATCGATGCTGGACCGCCCCCATCCCTGCCGGCCGCCCCCTCGGCAGGCGCCGACGCGCCCCGGCCAGACGGCCCGCGCCGGCCAGCCGGCCGGCTCGCCTGGAAACTCAGGTGAACGGGGTGGGGACCATGCCTCGGTTGCTGGGCCGGCACCGCCAGTCCGTGCTATCCCGTCTTGTCGGCCGGCGGGTTGGCTTGGTCGTCACGGGCTGTTGCCTGAGACGTGCCAGGAGGGAGAGTGGGCGGAGCACTGTGATGGGAACGAGGCGGAGAAGTCTCGTCCAGGGCACTGACACAAGGCTTGTGCTTTCCCGTTGCGTAGGGCGGGTCTACAGCGGTGGCGCACGGGACCTTTTGATTCTATGCTTGCTTCCCCGATCCTTTGCAAAGCAACAAAGTAAGCCCGTGGAGTGGTAGTGCCGCAGCGGAGTGGTAATTTTGTTGATACGTTCCATGATAAACCTTACCAGGTGGATATTTGTTTTTGGAGCAACCGTCTGTCGATCAGATCAACTCAACATATTTGGGGATTTATCCACAGCTATATGACAACTTTTGCCCTCAACTTCGGCCATTTCTTCGCCTGACACAGCCTGGAGGAGGGCGTGAGCTCCAGCAGACCACCACAGGCCTCGAGATGGGCTGGCCTGTGATGAGTCAAACCTCGAACGTGAAGGAGTGGGCACCCGGGTCTGATGGCGGGGAACATGCGTCACGTCATGTTTCGGTACTGCGTTACCCGCGACCGGTGACGTGCCCGTAACGTCTGCGTCACGCGAACCCCTGCGTCACATGAACCCCTGCGCTGGCAGTGGCGGGCTCCGCTGACCCCGGAGAACGCTGGCCGGTGTTAAAATGAACGCGGGCTGATGCTGGCAGTGACGGAGGATTACGGCAGGCGGGCTGGTTGACGTCGACAGCGTTTAATCCAGGCCTTGCATGGAAGTGGACGATGCGCCGACTGAGGCCGCCCCAGCATATCACAGGGTTATGTTGGTTATCGGTGCGTCGGTTTCGCCGCTTCGAACTTGCGATATCGTTTAACACGAGTAAAAGAAGATAAACGCATGGTACCGCCGGGAGCGGGTGGTCGCTGCCGTCGGCTTTTGAGGCGCTGATCGGGTGTTGGGGCGAGTTTTGATGACGGGGGGAAGGGTTGGCTGATTTACTGGTCAGCTGGCCCGATGGTTTATTGACCCGGATTAAACCGTGGGAAGATAGCTGTTGTGAGCAACGCTGTCCATGAGGACATTGATCATATTTATATAACTAGAGTATTTTGTTAAAAGTGATAATTCTAAAAATCTTATTATGATTGCTTCACAAAGATTGGTTTAGATCAAAACGGCACTGATGTGCTGTCTGGGACAGGCTCGTTTATCACTGATGGCGGTAGTTTGACTAAAATCGGCACTAACGTGCTGGGACAAGCTCGTTTACCACGGTTGGGGATGACAGCAGGCCGATCGTCACGGTCGGCGATAGCTGCGGTTGGGGATGACAGTAGGTCGACCGTCACGGTCGGCGATAGCTACGTTTACCACGGCTGGGGATGACAGCGGGCCGATCGTCACTATCGGCGATAGCTACGTTTACCACGGGTGGGGATGACAGCAGGCCGACCGTCACGGTCGATGATGGCTGTGTTTACCACGGGTGGGGATGACAGCAGGCCGATCGTCACGGTCGGCGATAGCCACGCGCTGGCCGTCGCGGTTGGCGGTGGTGACGTGCCGGCGGTTTCAACAGGGGGTCGGGCGTTACGATGAAACTTGTAGTGCGTGGCGCTAACCTTCACATGTGACGTTGGTGACGCTGGATGACATAGCCGGCGTCAGTCACGGATATCAGATGTCATAAATCAGTGCTGCTGATCAGTGCAGATACCGTTGCTATTAAAGGCGTTGTTTCACTGAGCCGGTTTTCGGAGCGGTGGACACCCATTTAGCGTATTTTAAAGCATGCTAGTCGCAGGTGGATGACCGTTTGCCACACGCGGCGAAGACCGGGTCGCGGCGCGTGGATGTAGGGATTATGCAGGGTAGTGCCTGATGGTGTCCCGGCGCTGAACTAGGTGTTAAGGTCAGTGTATTGTTGTTCATGCGCCAGCTGTTGGCCTCCGTCGATCACTTAAATTCGTCGCAGAATGCACGAATACTGTTGGCGAGGATAAAGAGAGGGATATAAGAGGGATGACAGCCCATGCTGGAATGTGAACAGTTTTGAACGGACTGTTCTGTGACGGGAAGGAGGTCATGCCATCCTTGCATAGCTCGGATGTCGCAGAAGGGGGTGCAGTTTCGCCCTACGAGAGGCCGCAGGGCCCCACCCCATCCCCACCCTTCCCCCGCCCTGCAATTTTTCAGGAGTAATGTCTGAACGGTTTGAGCATGGCACTGATAGGTTGGGTACCAGAGTTTACCTCATTATTGACCCTGCTCTGGGGTATGATCAGAGGCGGACGCAAGTTTCAGGTATGCGGGAGAGCGACGGTTTACGGTGAACGGTCTGCCCAGCATAAAATGCTTGTATTTCCTGAAATGTCAAGGTCCTGCATCTGCCACTGATGCTGGAGATGATAGTGACGGCCTTGAAACAGGCGTGGGTTCGGAGGATTTATCTGTTTTAACCAGATGAAAGTTTTTAGGTTGGCTCGCTCTCCGTGCCGTACTACTGAAGTTATCGAAATAGTCGTCCTGACAAGCTAGTTCATGCCACGAGTTTCGTTTCAGATTTTGCTAACTCAAATCGAACTGGCATCCCCTTCCCCGCATGGAGTTCCAGCGGGATTAATTCCAACTGGATAGGGTCATAGTAGAAAAGAGATTATAGCGTAGCGCACTTTAAACCATGCCGTCGGTACCAATGATTGTGATGCCACACCGTTGGAAGTCGACTCATAGGTCATGACATTTCAATATCTGGCACCATCCCAAGGTCTAGTGTGTCGCCGTTCCGCTGCCGCCCTGTCACACCTATATGTAGAACACCCCCGTAACTCATGGAGCAACACGTGAGTATGCAGCAGAATAAGCGGGAATTATGTACATGGATAAAACAGGGGGTTTGAGTTTTGCGCAACGGGCACGTGCGTGATGATAGCACTACCGTAGTTCGGCAGTGGAGCGCTAGTTCGTAATGCATTAATGCACGGTGTTCCGTCACACGCGGGGACGACCAGTGACCTCTCCTGACCTTCATCGCAGGTCACGTGAGCGGACCGCGTGAGTTGCAAAGGTGCTTGCAAATAAATTACGGCTGACTCGCACTTCTGTACTGGTGTGTGGCATGCGGCTCTCATTAAATGATCCAATTTATAAATAATCAATGGTGATATTACCATGAAATGAATCACTAATCGCTGGTAATATTGTTTGTACCGGTGCGAGCCAAGCCGTGACTAAATGCAGATGCCAAGCTGTCTAGGACGGCGCTAAATGCGTACACACTGGTACTGCTGCGGTACACATGCGTACACACTGGTACTGCTACGGTACACATGCGTGCACACTGGCACAGCTGCGGTACCGATGAGGTGCCGGCACTAGTGCTGTTGAAGTTGGGCGTATCGGATGGGATCCAATGTCGATTCAGTCGTCAGGCTTGATGGAAAAAAGAAGAAAACGGTTACATTGTGTGGATAGTCGTCCGCCAGTTATGGCGCACAGAGGTATTTTGAGCACGAAGCATCCACCCGTACGCTTGTTTCTTGTTTGTTGGTTTTTTTTTACATTTCGTCGCGCTCGGTGTCTGGTCGGCGCCGTGGTGGCCTTCCTGTAGGCGCACACGTGCGCGTGTACAAATGCCGGTTTCCGTGGCTGTAGCGTGCGCCTGAGCCCGCAGCGCTCGGCGCGTCGACGCAGTATCTTCGATATGTGTCACGCGGGACAGTCTGGCCCTGCTGTTTCGAGTTGGGGAATGTCGCCAGCCGTGTGGTCGGGTGGCGTGTCCCGGTCCTGTGCCCGCCAACGACGCCCGTCCCGGTGCTGTGCCCGCCAGCGACACCCGTCCCGGTGCTGTGCCCGCCAACGACGCTCGTCCCGGTGCTGTGCCCGCCAACGACGCCGGTCCCGGTGCTGTGCCCGCCAGCGACACCCGTCCCGGTGCTGTGCCCGCCAACGACGCTCGTCCCGGTGCTGTGCCCGCCAACGACGCTCGCCCCGGTGCTGTGTCCGCTAACGACGCCCGTCCGCTGTTGCAGCCTGCCGGCCTCAGCATGTCGTCGACGCGCTCGCTGCTGCTGGCGTCCGCCCTGCTGCTGGCCTCGCTCCGTACGGCGTTGGCACGTGAGTATTGAGCGTGTGCGCGTGCTGCCGGAAGCTCATGGGGGTGGTAAGGAGCGAGTGGCACTTTCGTGTTGAAATTTGATTGGCACTTACGTGGGGCTGCAGGCTAGGCGGGACCGATTCCGACTGCAAGGTCAGATTTTCAAGCTTGTCATCACAAGTTTCATTTGAAACATTGACTCTCGCGAAATTCTTCCATCGGGGCTATTTGCTCTTGGCTCTGTGGAATTAACCCGTGTTAGAACCGGAATGTAGTTTTGTAAAATAAGTTAGGAGAGCAGAGCAGGGAAAAATCGCTAACTTGCTCCCAAGATATACTAAAACGGTCTTCTTCTCAGATTTAACCAAGTCCCTCTCCAATGCGGGGGGGGGGGGGGCGGGGGCTGGAGATTTCCGTCAGTTCACAGGTGACTACAGCCGTGTTCGACAAGATCTGCTTTAACTTTGTCTCAATTTAAAAAAAAAAAAACGCTGGTCCGTGGAATGCCACTAGAGTTCAGCTTGCTTCTATTCAGATTCAGAATCGGATCTGGAATCGTCCATATTGTCGAGATTTAAGGCTGATTTGGGCCCCTAGCGTCTGGGGGGGTTCTGAATTAGATTTGGTTCTAATGTCCAAGAGCTTCAGAGTGACGGTGGGCAAGTTGGAAAACAATGACGTCATGATCAAGGCATTTCTTGAAATGGTAGAAACTGTGCTTGATCTGTTGTCAACAAGTCGCATAGCATGGAGATAAACACAAAACGGTATCAAAATATATCTTAGGTGTGCACGGCAGTTTAAGGAAGATTAACAGTAAAGGCTTTCACGTATATGTATGCCGTACTGAAACTGTTCGTCCTACAAATTTTCAATATAAAAACGAACACTTGGTACTTCGGGAGAGCGTGAATGCTTTCCTCACGCACCCATGAACGGGGCCCTAGGATGTGTTGTTGAATGTACAATGGTGCAGACAATTCACACATGCTCTAAAGCTTGCAACACCCCAGCCCTGGGATATCAATAACATCTTTAAGTTCTGGCGATGCTGCTCTATTGCATTGCTTATACCGCATATATTTGGTTTGATTTGGATCATATTGTGATTTAGAATTCCCATTTTGTTTGATTCGGGAAGAGGGTCGAAATGAGGCCTGATATCATCGACCAATTCGAATCACCATTCCAAACGTAAAGTTGTTTCGAAGCTCGATGCGGTTTCCAGTTATTCTGAGTCGATCGCTTCGATTGATGCGGCGTCACACCTGGCGCAAGTCCGGCCGTTGCTGACGGCCTTCGGAGTGAGTCTGACGGTAGCGTATAGCATCTTGCCGGCGGAAATACGGCATGCATTACACTCCGACCGGCGGAATCCCGGTGGACCTCGATGCATGAGATCCAGCTCAATCTCGTCCGTCTCGCCGCGAGCGCCAGCGCCCTGCCGCGGCACGTGGCGCCGCGTTGGTGAAATCCCAGCAAACATCTCTGCTGTGTGTGGCTAGCGGCCGGTGGTCTGATGGCGCCAGCCGTGATTCGTGTTAGTGCTGTATGTAGCTTCGGCTGCCATTTTCAGGCTGCAGATTTAAGCTAAATATGTTGTTTGTTTGTTGCTTTGGTGGTCTGGATTCGTTTCCTATCGTCACGTGCAGTGATTACTAATCTCGCGCAGCGCGCGCTTAAAGCCCACATCATGATTTATTGTGTACGGAAGGTATTGAGCACTAGCCTTGCAGAGTGCAAGCAGCGTGGGGTATGCTGTCATAACACCCATATGTTGGCTGTACAAGGCCCAGTCAACCAAAGGCACCCATTCTGCATAGGCCTGCTGGGATCGGCCATGGAGGTCCCACACTTGTATTGGGCTGTTTTGTGCTTTGCAATGCGATCCAAGTTCGCAAATTCAAGCTGAAATGCATGTTCGCCAATCCTAGTTGAGTTAAAGTAAAATAAGGTGCAAGTTTGTGTCAATCATTCGGCTTGTTTTCTTACGAGTTGCATGCCGCCAAAAGGAACCTGGCAAAATGTCACCGGCCTAGTTGCCTCGTTCTAACCGGTATGAAAAGTGCGCAGTTGGTGCAGGGCATCAGATAATCGTCGAATTGTGTGCTGCTGTCGGGCGTCCGTCGGACAACGGCACGTAGATACGCCTCCCCAGGGATGGAGGGGTGGTGGTTGGAGACAGCTTCACGGATGACTGGGGATAGCTGACGACTGATGTGCCACCAACAGTGTCGAATGTGTGCTGGAGGGTGGGCTCTGCGGATGGCAAGGATTTGCTCGCCATTGTTCTGGTCAGACGGGCTCAGATTCCAGCGCCACCTTTCTGGCGGTGACAGCGCCATCTAGACACGTGATGGGCGGGATGCGACGGCGTTATGCACCGCGCTCCGTCGCCTTGGCGACCTATTTCTGGGCCCGCGTATGCTGGCATTCGCTAGAATGAGGGTTCGAAAGTTCAACACAACACTGCATTGCCTTTAAATCACAATTTCTACTCGTATTTACTGCATGTATGCGTAGTAATGCTACAGGTGGGAAAATCTGCCTGGGTGTGACGTCACAGGACTGGAGGTAACCCGTGTGACGTCACCATGTGCGTAACGACCGAGGCATGACGTCGCATGGATGGCGTCAAACGGTGAATACCCGAGCGCGGCTGGATGAGTCCATGCATTGTCAGTTTTGAACATGCGCTCGAGATCTGCCTCCGTCCACTGTCATGCAAACGCAAATGTGGGATGACATCTACGTCCAACCACGCTGTTTTTTAGCCTCACTTTAGTCTTAACAACCACTCAGGGTTTCGGGGATTTTCAGGTTGAAACCTTAAGTGTTTTCACAGGATTCCTAGGCTGCGTGACGAAAGCCATGAGCGCGCACCAGGCGGACCACAAAGCACAAACAACAAACGTGATGGCGACCGAAACTCCGCCAGTTGTGCGGCACTAGCCCACTGCTCGGTCTTCTCATACCTGGGGTTAAGCCTCCACTTGGCGACCTTAGGGGCGGTCTGCACTAACTGAAATGCTGAAAACTACCTGAAATTCAAAAAAACGATTTCACTTAGATGCGTAGCAGTTGGTGTTTGCACACCATTGTCCGACATCGGCGTGTCTCCTAAAAATGGATCGCGGAACGATTTGAAAAACGCTCACGCAAATCCACCTCGAATTTTCCCGTTTTTGAAGCCTGGCTTGTGCCTTGCATCACTGTGCTCGGATAGGCTCATGTCTTGTCCTCATATTGCAGACATTTTTTCACCTTTGTCTAATAGTTAAAGTAGGTAATGTTCGTAAGTGATGTTAAAATCGGTGCCATTATTTCACACAGTGGGGGTGGATGCGGCGTGCGCGGACACCCAACGTCCGCTGGCTCTTGGTGGGGGCTGACCCCAGTTGGGTCGAACAGTGGCGGCGCCACACACCCCCGCCCGTGAGCGGGGTGGTGGAGGCCGTGTCGGCGCTGCTGTCGGCCCCAGCCGCTGTAAGACCTAGCGCCTGTTTCGCTCCGTGTGACCTGGCGCCCCTCTTTCGCCCCATGCGACCTGGCGCCCTCCCTCGCTCCGTGTGACCGGGCGCCTTCCCTCGCTCCGTGTGACCTGGCACCCTCCCTCGTTCCGTTTGACCTGGCGCCTCTCCCTCGCTCCGTGTGACCAGCGCCTCTTTCGCTCCGTGTGACCTGGCGCCCCTCTTTCGCTCCGTGTGACCTGGCGCCCCTCCCTCGCTTCGTGGGGCCTGGCGCCCCTCCCCTCTCTCCGTGTGAACTGGCGCCCCTCCCTCGCTTCGTGTGACGTCCCCCCCCCCTTAGCTCCGTGTGACCGGCGCCCCTCCCTAGCTCCGTATGAGCGGTACCCCTCCCTTGCTCCGTGTGACATAGCACCCCTTCCCCGCCCCGTGTGATCGGCACCACTCCCTCGCTCCGTATGACCGGCGCCCCTCCCTCGTTCCATGTGACCTGGCGCCCCTCTCGCTCTGTGTGACCGGCGCTCCTCCCTAGCTCCGTATGACCGGCGCCCCTCCCTCGTTCCGTGTGACCTGGCGCCCCTCTCGCTCCGTGTGAGCGGGCGCCCCTCCCTCGCTCCGTGTGAGCGGCGCCCCTCCCTCGCTCCGTGTGACCGGCGCCCCTCCCTCGCTCCGTCCGCAGTGCAGAGTCCGCCGCTCATCACCAAGCAGCCGCCGCCCACCGAGCAGCTGTTCCAGGTGGCGGAGCGCAAGGACGAGAACGACCGGCCCTTCATCATTGAGTGCGAGGCCAAGGGAGAGCCCATTCCCAAGTGAGTCCCGCGCCTGCCGGGCGTTGCGCGCAACGCGCGCACTGCTGTCCTTGCCGGACGCCGCAGCCGCCAGCTGCCGCGTCAGCCGTTCAAGCGTCGATGACCCGTTTGGCAGCCCGGGAAGGACCGGTTTTGGGGCCCCGGGGGGTGTCCGGCGCTGAGAGGGCGTCGCTGTGCGGCCGGCGCCGGCTGGACGTGTCAGCGGGCTGGCCCGGCGGTCAGCCCGACTGGTCAGCAGCCGTGCTGGGAGCGGCTGGGCCGGCGGCCGTGCTGGGAGCGCCTGGGCCGCCGGCCGTGCTGGGAGCGGCTGGGCCGCCGGCCGTGCTGGGAGCGCCTGGGCCGCCGGCCGTGCTGGGAGCGGCTGGGCTGGCGGCCGTGCTGGGAGCGCCTGGGCCGCCGGCCGTGCTGGGAGCGGCTGGGCCGGCGGCCGTGCTGGGAGCGGCTGGGTCGGCGGGCGTGCTGGGAGCAGCTGGGCCGCCGGCCGTGCTGGGAGCGGCTGGGCCGCCGGCCGCTGCGAGACGCCAAATGGGGGAAGCAAGTTTGCGCGCTTCACCGCACCCGCACGTTGGAACAGCTAACGGTGGTGGCGGCCAGTGGCAAGCGCGTCGGACTCCCGAGTGTTGGGGAGGGGGGGGGGGGGGGGGGAAGGGGAGGGCTTGAATCCCGGTTGCGCCATGGCCCCTGAGCGCTTTCATGGCCTAAGCAGTCGCCGGGCTCCACAAAAACGGTGTGATGACATCCGTCGTGTTCCTTTAAAAAAGAACGGCAAACGACCATTGCTCCCTTGAGAAGTTGTTTGGTTTGATTTTGGCGGTTTCGGAAAACGAATCTGTACCTGAATGTCCGAAAGTTGTCTGAGACGTGAGTCGATTGCGATGGTCTGTCCCTCATGTGCTTCCAGCACCGCTAGAGGGTGCGACATTGTGGCAGAGTTGGGGTAGGGATTGTCACCGTGTTTCTCCCTTCGTCCTTCATCCCCGACAAAATGATCCAGGCCGTGTTTGATCTGTCGTCAGCAGGTTTGTCAGCTTGAGTGCGTGACGTCATGCGTGCTGACGGAGCGTTCGATGTGCGGGCTGACGGGAAAGTTTTTTAACTTTACTTTCCCTTTTTTATCTTTTACTTCAGACCACACATTAACTGACTTACTGGCGACCATGACGCACTACGTACAAAGTGGTGTTTGGAAGTGTGGCGTCTGTTCCGGTATGTCCACCATCTATCCCATCCGTGTGTCGAGTGCTTCTTCCTTTTTTCCAATTGATTTCAATTTCAGTCATCTCATTTTAGATGTTGACTTATAACGCTATTAATTTACTGGGCAACGCAACCACACACCACACCAATCACTGTCACTCACCTTTTCATGGCTACTCTTAGCTTTTCAATTCCCTCCTTATCTATCTTACGTCGCATTTCTCCAAAATCAGAGACAAGCGCCCCCACCCCACCTAACGTACTCGTCAACGCAAGACTTGCCAAATCAAACTCCCGCTTCAGTCAGAAGGATTTTTCATCTGGTAGTGCTTCCTCTCCATGCTGACGCGCTGACAAACAATCCTGGCATCATCTTTAGCCGGCGCGTGACGTCACAGGCGACGTGACTTTATGGGCACGCTTAGGGCGAATACTGGGCCGTGATTGGTGCTGACCAACGTGGCACGTGGCCTGCCAAGCGTGTCACCAAAATTTGATTTTAAAAAAAAATTGAGGGGCAAAACAGTGACTGCGGGGAGTGGCCGCAGTGGAGGGAGCGGGACGTGGACGGTCACTTGCTTGTGGCTGGTGGTCGGCGGGAATAAACATGGCGACTGGAGAGTGGTGGTAGTGGAGCGGGAGATGTGTGTGTGTGTGAGGGGGGGGGGGGGGGGGGGGTCCTTGCTCTAGGCTTGTGATCGGCGGAAACAAGCATGATATAACGCGGGCCCGTCCTGTCGTCAGCGCAGCCACGCGGCGATCCAGGACAGTGACGTACCCCCGTCTGGAAGCGCAGGCTGATGGCACGGAGACTGTGTCGTCTCCGCTTGTCAACGATTACGATACCATGCAGTGTAGCAACGGGAACCTCGCCGAGATGTGTTCCTTGTTTAATCTTGATCACGGTGGTATGTGACCGTGGGTATTTGGAGCAAATCCCGATGATGTTTGTACCGCAAATGTCGCGGTGCGCTCACCGCCGCCCGTGATCGGCTGATTGTCAGTGGTCGGTTGCCGACCGTACTGGCGGTGGATTTGCCGTGCAGCGTTTATGACAGAACCGCTTCAGCAGGGGAACGAGACATTCTACAGAATTCTTGTTGTAAAAACAGCGTAATAAGTGCCGCAGAGACTACTGAAATGTGAGCATGATTACACAGCATGCCAGGAAGATATTGATTAAAAAAATAGAGTGGCTCTGACCCCTGCCCTTACCGGGGTAAGGGAATCCGCCCCCGCAGGTCCGAGTCCTTATGCCGGTCAAAGGCCCGTGTGCGCCATCCGATGGCCCAACGATAATGAGGTACCCCATGTCGGCTGTGTGTTGGTGTTGGGGCGCATCGCCTAAACAGGGGCAAGCTTAAGCCTGCGAGTGCCATTCAGAGGGCCTCTTGCATTGGTCGAGAATCGTGCAGAAATGAGGAGCCCGCGATGCTTGACGGGGATCTTGTGTCGGCAAAGGGCCTCGAGTCAATCAGGGGCGAGTTGCTAACGGGGACATGAGCAGCGACTTGACCACGCGTGACAAAGAGACTTGCGTTAGTCATGCACCCTCTGGCAAGGAAAGAAGGCATGCCAACAATAGCATGGCAACAATGGCATGACAACAACGGCATGACAACAAATGCATGACAACAATGCAAAGGTCCACAATAGGACAGCGAAAGGGCCTTGCACCAGTCAGGGGCCCCAGTACCGCAGAAGGTCCTCTTATCCCGTTTTGGCCAGGAGGCTTCATAAGGAGACCTGGGGACTCTGTGCCAGTTATTGAGTGGCCTGTGTCGTTAAAGGCCCCTTTTGCGCCGTGGGGAGCCGGACAGTTTGCCTAACCAGACACAGCTACCTGAGTCCCTCTCGGCTCAGTTGTGCCGCCCTCAGTTGTCTCGCCCTCAGTGGTGCCGCCCTCAGTTGTGCCGCCCTCAGTTGTGTCGCCCTCAGTTGTGTCGCGAGGGATGTATTTGATGATGATGATGACGACGAGTCAGAGATGTATTTGATGATGACTGTGCCTTGCTGGCGGCGCATTTGTACGAGCATTGAAGCTATACCGATGTATTACACATTTGCCGTTGCCTATGGTGAGAAACAAGGCCCGCATTCCTGAGCTGTTTTCAAGGAATTGTCGGGTGGGGCGGGCGGTTTCTCAAATTTTGACTGCGGGGTGAACTTTCCAAATCGCGAAAAGCGGTACCTGTACTCGCGATCCGTAAATGATCGGCAAGCGGTCCTCCTCCGGGTTAGCGCAGGAGTCAGGACAGGAGTCACGACAGGAGTCAGGGCAGGAGTCAGGACAGGAGCGCGCTGATGTGCTAGGAATGTTCATCGGCCGTAATCGCCAGATCATGGGCTTTCCTTGCGTCATGACCTACGGTGGGTCGCAGCGATACAAGCTTTGTTCGTCGCATGCATGTGTGGGACCATCCAACCATGCCGGCGGCCTTTGCTTGGTATCAAGCCAGGAGGCTGCTGCCGTGATACAGCTGCCGGCCGTGTGAAATAAGTAGCCTTGTGCTTTGCTCTGGGGGTTGGGCTATGTTACGCCACGTACCTGGAATTTTCCGAATTGCGAGCTGGGGGAAGACGGTGTTTCCCCTGCCGTGCGTCAGGGAAGCGTCTGCCCCATCTGCCCCCCGCCCCCTCCCCCCTCGCGCTCTTGGCGTCGCCTATGGACCCCTGGTGTGCAACAAACCTTCAGCAACATCGGCTCGGTGGCCGAGCGTAATTATGTGTTGGCCTATGCCAAGCGTCAGTGCGGTCCTCAGCCTACCCTGCGAGACAGCGGATTAAATTCCTCTGGAAAGTAAGCCATCAGCTTTTCTAGACATTTGTTGCCTGGTGCCTGCTTTCGTGGTGACACATGTAGCACGAATCGCGACGCGAAAGGAGGCCACTACGCCCCGCTCGCGTGTGTCACAGCCATTTGGAGGGGGCTGTTCGGCCGCCTCGGACCCCCCAGTATCCATGTAGTTGTCCAGGCTGGGAGGTCGCGGCGAGCGTGCGGCGCCGCTATCGCGGGACGCGCGCGCCGGAAGCGGGCACTCACGCCTGGTGCGGTGCTCTCGATCCCCGCGTTGTCGTGGCGCCGGCCGGGACAGCCCGCTGCCGCCGGGTACACCGCCGGGAAGTCTTTCGGGACCCGTGGATTCCAGCGCGTGCGTCAATGATGCGGTCAGCAGCAGTAATGGGGTGTGGTTAAGATGCATATGCGGGAAACCAGGGGTACGGAGTTCGGTTCCCCGCGGTGTCGCCCTTCCTGCCAGGGCGAGAGACGGGCGACGCCATGTAGCCCCAGCGGCTGAGTGCGTCGTAAGGCCCCAGTGACGACGACACCAATGAGTTGGAGCGAAGCAATGCCGAGGCCACGCCCATGACTTCCATCCTAAAGAAGAGCGTCTGCGGTATCTGTCGTCGTGAAACTCGCTCCCAAATACACAGCAGTGTGGCCCAAGCGACTGTTGCCTTGCCCTGACTGTGGTATCGCTGTAAAGCCCGTTTTAGACTGTTGTCTTAGAACTTGAAATTTTGCTGTATATAATGCACCGGTTTTTTGAGATGCTCGATGTACCTAGGTAACGCGGTTCGCCCAGCATGCAACATACACGTTGCTGCTTTCGGACGGCATACGAGGTCACTAGCCGCGTCGACTGAGCTTGGCGTAACGCTTTAAGGAAAGACGTCGTATCTTCGACACCTGGAGCACTCAGTCCAGGACTGGAGCACTCGGTCTGGAGTTCTCAGTCTAGGGTGCCTGTCTCAGAGTGTGTACGGCGGCGTGCAGTCAGCAGGGCGCCGGCGCCGTCCGC